CTTCAAACGGATGTTCTTAGGCTACCCAGAGGATACTTGGTCAAGGACCGGAAGTCGTGAGCTGCTTGAGTCATATGTAAAAGAATCGTTTCTGGCCCCATGACTCCATCCTCCCGAACTATTTGACAGTTTTTTCCTATTTTATTACACCCTCTCTTATGTTAATTATAACTAGATAAGTTTTTATATATTACGTAAAATCATAAAGTGTATCTCTATAATTCCACGAGTAAAATAAAATTTCTTACAGGTATTTACGCAGCATACTTTATATTGCTTTTTATACCTTGAAAAGGGTATATTAAGTTTGCCACGAAGTTTGTAACACCCAAAAGTATATATATAACTGATCAGTATGTTGAGCTGAATCGATTTAGCCATGTCCGTCTGTCCGTTTGTCTCTATATATACGAAATAGTTCCTCAGCTTTTAAGATATCGTTTTGAAATTTTGCAAAYGAACTGCCGATATCGGATCACTATAACATATAGCTTCCATACAAACTGAACGATCGGAATGAAGTTTTTGTATGGAAAACTTTCACATTTGTAAATATATTCACGAAATTTGGTATACATTATTTTCTAAGGCAACAAAGTAATATCCGAAGTATTTGTTGAGATCGGTTAACTTTAGCATTAGTATTTGTATGGCAGAACTGAATGAACCGAATGAAATGGGAAAATTCCTCATTTGACGATAAATCTTCACGAAATTTTGTGTGAGTTATTGTTCATAGAAAKAATGTAATATCGGAAGAAATTGTTCAGATCGGCTCACTGTAGCATATACATACCGAACGAGCGAAATCAAGGCCTTTATGGAAAACTTTTGCATTTGACACGATATCTTCACGAAATTTGACATGGATTACTGCTTAAGGTAATATTTGAATTTGAGTAGCTGGGTACGAGTACCAAAAATAAATGAATTCRGACTAAAATATAAAAAACAGTAAAGAGATTTTACGTTCTTCGATCGTTTTCACTGTTTTTTGCGATGGAACTACAAATTTATAGAGTTCCAAATTCTTAGAGAATATTTTCTATAATTAAATTGAAAGTCATTGCTTATAATAAATACTTTAACGTACTACTTTTATTTGTACACGTCTGTATAAGGGTATTTCATTTATTTTTTTTTCATTTATTTTTTTTTCATTTATTTTTTTCTTAAACCCTTAACCCTTTTTCCATTGTACTTTGTCTATAAAACCAACCGTACTCAAACTTTTTCAAAAAGGTATGATAAATGTGAAAAATCGAAAAAGAAGTAGTATTTAAAGTCAAAATTAATGACTCAAAATTTCAAGAATTTTTTTAAAACATAAAAACCAAAGTTTTCATTTGTCCGCGAAGAAATAAAAAAAGTTTCAAATGAAACWCCCTAGTCTGTGTATGTATTTTGATAAAAATCATCAAAAGAGATTAGAATTGTGAATGATGTCACAATTTCTAATTTACATAGGTGTTGTATAAAAATACTCACTACCTGTCAAATTTCAAGATACAGCAAATTTACAGCAAACAAAATGAGTCACATATACATATTTATATACTAAGACCAATGAAAATTGCCGAATATCACATACATATATGATTACTTTTAATAGCAATATAATTATATTAAATATGACACTTTTATTTTATTGCCTACTAAAGATTTTTCACCGCAACTCGAGCTCAAATGCAGCTGTCAACTCGTAAATCACAAGATTTACCTAGCGAAGCTCAGTAGATTGGACGAGCTTTTTCACTGTTTTGTTCTATGCCTTTTGAGGTTATCAAACAAATTGAATATCCAGTGAGTTTCTACGTTAGACAGTGTTTACCGCCTCTTTTATATTATTTGTCAAAGAGGGCTCGTTGTTGACAAAAACCMGTTATTATTATTTCTCTAACATGCGGCTATAAAAGATTTTATTTAGCTATATATGTATGTATATGTCTCTAATTATTTCTATTACTTGTTTTCAACAAATTTCATATTTACAAATGTTTACATACATACATATATACATATGTATATGTATTTCTGTCTCCATAGCGTATTATTAGTTTTTCGATTTATCATCATCTGTTATCGAACTGCTAGCATTGATAACGCACCTTACAAAAATTCGTTCAATCAAAGAGAGATTAAATTCTCACGCCTGCAAGTAATGCAACAACTGATTGCACGCTATAAACGTATGCGAGAGTGTGCATATACACCGAACTAGTGCTAAACAGCTGTAATGCTTTTAAATTGTAAAAAACTCCCCCCATCAAAAGCTGCTCAACGCTCTGCAAAACAATACAATAAATGCTGATATGCGCGCCCCATATAAAAGCGTTGGCCAACGATGAGCGCCATTCATTGCTAAATGAGCGTTCGGCGTTCAAGCTACGGTGGCGACGCGTGAACTACACACATACATACATAAAAATAATTAATTCGGCTGCGAAAGCAATAATAGAATATAATTTAGCAACGAATTTTGTCTACTCGGAAGTAATCGGTTGAACAAAGTCTGATAAAAATACGCTACGTTTTTGTTGGTGCAGAGGTGATTCCCCAAATGACGACAAAAGCATAAAGTATTTGCTAAATTTATGCACATAAATGAGTACATATCAACAAAAGCTATGAGATAATAATRAAACATTAAAAGARGAGACAAATTTGTAGTTTTGTGAGACGTAGAAACAAACATACATATAAATATTTGCAGCGTGTTACTTATACGCCATTTACTAGTGTGCGAAAAGTAAATGAAATAAAAAAATCACCTGTTAATAAGCATTAAAACATATTATTCGAAGCATTTTGTGCTGAATAAGTGCAAGTGACATTAGCAAAGTGTTGATTGATCGTCAATACAGCAAAAAGAGACAAGAGGCAATAGACAACAACAAAGTTCACTAGTGAAATTGATTGCACACTAAGAGTTAATAAGTGCGAGCGGTGATTTTTCGGCATGCAATGACAGTTACAGATTTAAAATATAAAGTCAACATATTAGAAAGTTAAAGCGTGAACTGAAAACACATGTGGACTGAACTGTGAAGTGCGAGAAATAAATTCCTTAACAAATAATATAAAACATTGTTTAAAATAAAAACTAAAACAAAATGGGTATACCGGTAAACAATCCAGAGGATCCCGCAGGATATGATTCCAACTACGCAAACAGCAAAACTTTCAGTGCATGCAAATGCAGCTGCAGTTGTAGTAACAGCAACTGTAACAGTAGCAGTAACGATAACAGTAGCGATAGTGGTAATTGCAATAGCAGCAAATCCAGCAGTTGCAAACATACTGGCTGCACAAATAAGGCAGGCGCCACTACACTCACACTCACATTTGCCAATAACAGCAGTTACGGTGCAGCGAACAATTATCAGTGCAGCAAGACGGAAACATTGGATGCACCCCTAATAGCGACGTCGATTACACGTCATACCAGAGACTTGGTTGGCAACTCAAAGGAATATCGTATAGAGAGTAATAAAAGCGATTTGCGCATCATTGGAAATGGCAATCGGATACGTATCGGTTGCAATCAGGGTAATTTACAAATTATTGGCAATAATACAAGACTGAAAATCACAAATAACACCGGTTGCATACGTTATACGGGGAATGAGGGACGCATTTGCTTGGGCAGTGATTCGACACAACAAATAGTCGATTACATAGGCAACAATGGCAAATTGAAGGTGGTCAAAGCAGCGGAATTATTAAGTGAGAAAATCAAAAGTCACAAACAAAAAAGCCAAAAAAATGTAGAAACATCGGCAACTACGAATACTACGTCGAGTGTGGTGAAGTGTGCGACGTCAGCAAAGGTCAAGGTTGACGAGGCAACTGGAACGATATCGGCTGCTTCTCCGTCACACTCAACACCCAAGAAGGTGAAGGTGAAATCCGCCTCATTTGGCGGCGATTATAGTGCGCAATGGCGGCAGTTCAATGAGTTGTTCGAGCAGCATGATTGGCGTAATTTCGATTTTGCATCAATGCCGAATTTGAAGTGCGAACACCCTGTTGGTAAAGAGGCTGAACAAAGTAATAATAATAGTAGGAGTAGTAAAGCTAATACTAAAAGCTGTAAAATTGATAATAATATTAATATAGTGAGTACTTATGGTAATATCTGCATAAAGAATGCGGTCAATGTTAGTATGTGAGTGTTGGAGGAAAGCTTAATAGCAGAGTAGCCAATTCATAAATTGCTAAATTTGCTAAAAACCAAATATGACAGTATGAAAAACTACATATAACAAGTAAGGCAGTAATATTTCTAAATAATTATTGACTTCATATCTTAAATAAAAAATATTAATTGTTTAAAAATAGACTCATTTATYAAAATGTATGTATGTATATTTAAGTAGTAACAAAGCTCTCTACGATAAATATGATCTATGGCAAACATAAATTTAAGTTAAAATAGTGAATTGAGTCATAAATGACAGTATGTAGTTTAAAAAACGTTTGACTGTATTTATGCCAGCAATACCTCTTGCCTTGTATTTGTAACTTTAGTGCAGAAATAACTTTTTGTTGGAAAAGAAAAAAAAAAACTAAGAAAGCAATGGATATTTTGGTTATTTATTCAGTTAATTTTTTAATTAATAACGGAAATCTTTAATTAATTTTGAAACCATCCTGACAAGTTAAGTTAAAGTCTAACTGTGAATTCTTTTTAACTGTCTTTTATGTTGTAGGCTTTGTAGCACTTGAAAAAACTAAAAAAATATCCATGACAAATATTGTATTTATTTATAAAAAAAATATCCATCACAAATATTGTATTTATTTATATTTTATATATTTAGTAAAGATTTGAATATATTTTAACAAGTGCACTGAAGAGCTATAAACTTTAAGTCAGTGAATTGTTCCTAAAAATCATAGTCAACATACAGAAAGAACAACAACAAACTACACACAATTAATTTTACCAAAATACGCTTAAACGTAAAGTATTATGACAATAAGAATATTCGTAGTATTTACACTTGAAATGCATCAGACTAAAAATCTAGCGCAAGTATTTATAATCTAGTGAAAATGCTGTAAGCTACAAGTAAACAAAAATATTATGTCATTCCATGAATGATATGTAATAAAATTACATTTCAATTAAAATTTCGGAATTCATTTATTGCAAGAATAGCTGTGAGAATATCTAAAGTGAAGATTGATAAAAACATGGTTTCAAGTCGATTGTGTCCAAATGACCTTAAGGCATTTCAACAAACATTCATTTTCAAACTACGGTCTCTCCTGTTGTATTTATATTGTTTTTGATATGGGAATTATTTTCGCCGTGCTAAAACCTAAACAATTTCTTAATTTAACTTAACTTAAAAAACTCTATGGTACCTGGCCTTCTTTAATTTCAGTATTTATAACCGCTTAAGAACTGAGCGCAATGAAGATTAAAGCTAAGGCTTTGCCAGGGTGACATTAGACAAAAAACCGCAGTGGAATTCTCAACTCATCGTCTGCGGTTCTAATGCCCAATTTTTTCAACATGCTTGTTTTGCGTAACTAATAAAGTTTGAAATGATTAGTTCACTCCTCTGTGCTTGCACTTTCCCTTTGTTTGTACATATTGACGCATGTACACATGTACGTATGTACATGTATACAAAAGTAGCTACACAAAAAGTTGAATAATTCTGCTTTGTGGAAAAACTACGGAGTTCCTCGAAAAAACATATCAGCATAACTCAACTGAAAAACATCCCCGAATGTCAAAATTCATTTGAATAAAATATTTTACACTTGAAGTGATAAGTGCGACAGAAATTTACTGTATCACACTGTTAGAATGAAGCAAGCTCCTTGTGGGAGGCATAACTGAGGATAAAGCGCGCTATTTGTCAATTGATTTAAGGGGTTACACTAAAAAGAAAATAAGCTTTTTATTCTAACTTTTTATTCTTCCAAAGATACATATTTTATAAACATTTGGCGAATTTTTCGTAAAAAAATATTCAAGACTCGGCTATTATGACGTCATTTCCGGCAGTCCCTCTGCACTGAATGATTGTCAGACAAATGACATGACATTGATGTACAACAGCAAAGCGTATTTCTTAATATCATTCGACCATTAACAATACGTGCGAATGAAGTGACGATTTCTACATTGTTTTCATGCCGTGCTGGAACTAACGGGTTTTACAAAACGGACGGTACAAAAGTTGACCAATAGAGACAGCAAACGACACCATATCTTTTCCCGCTCTTTTGACATTACTCTTCAGTGAGGTTTGTCATTTCATCGTCATAATCGACCTGTCAGATCAACAATGGAGCATCCTGTTAAAAAGAATTTGAATCCGCAGGCACAGTACAAAATCTTCCCGTGCCAATGAGACAAAGACGACTCCGTAGTGCGGAGAAAACTGGTGCCGCTAGCGCATAAATTGAGGAAGACCCAAATCAGTCTCTCACAAGTCGTTCTCAAGCGTTGGGCATCCCTGTGACGTCGTTGTCGCGAATTTTGCGAAAAGATATTGGCCTGCATTCTTACAAGATCAAATTGACGCAAGAACTGAAGCCGCTTGACCACCAGAATTATAGTATGTTCGAGAATTGGGCTCAGCAACAATTTGAAAATTAACCGGATTTTCTGGCTCATTTCTAGCTGAATGGCTTCGTCAATTACACGTATTTTAATTTTTTTACCCCAGCGATTTCATCGGTAATTAGATTTAATAAAAGGAAGAAAGTTTTAATTCCTGTTGGAGCTGTTGTGAAGACCACTTCACCAGCCATTTTCTTTCGTTTTGCTTCCAGCTTATAATTAGATGAGGCTTTACTAGTTTTATATTTTCACTTTTTTTTTTAAATAATTTCATCCTTGTAGCTATATAAATACTTATGAGAGATGAAATTATATACTACATCTTTGAAAGGTTTTAACAAAACCTACAAAACGACGCTATGCATGATTAGTTTGGATATTGCTTTCAACAGTTATAGAAGTGTAAAAATGGAGTTCACTAAGGCCGAAATTCGCGCTATCTTAAAGTTTTGCTTAGTTAAAGGCAAATCCGCTAGAGAATTATGGTTCCGTGAGATTAATGGTGTTTTGGAGGATGGAACTCTATTACTTAGAACTGCGGAGGAATGGTTTCGACGATTTACAGCGGGTGAAAACGACACCATGGATTAGCCAGCCGTCGGAAGACCTGTGACGACGAATACCGATCAAATCATGGAAAACATCGACTTAGACCGGCATGTGGCATCTCGTGACATCGCCCACAAGATGGGAATTGGTCACCAAACCATTTTAAACCTTCTGCAGAAGGCTTGATACACAAAAGAGCTTAATGTTTTAGTGCCGCATGATATGACGCAAAAAACATTCAGGACCGAATCAACRCCTGCGATATGCTGCTGAAAYGGAACGAACTCGACCCATTTTTACAGCGGRTGGTGACTGACAACGAAAACTKGATCACATACGACAATATCAAGCGAAAACGGTCGTGGTCGAAGGCCGGTGAATCGTCCCAAACAGTGGCCAAGCCGATATTGATGGCCAGGAAGATTTTGCTGTGTGTTTAGTGGGATTGGAAGGGAATCATGCACTATGAGCTGCTCCCATATGACCAGACGTTTAATTCTACCATCTACTGGAATAACTAGACCGCTTGAAGCAGGCGATCGAATAGATGCATCCAGAATTGACCAACAGGAAGCGTGTAGTGTTCCACCAGGACAAGGCCAGACCACACACTTCGTTGATGACTTGTCAGAAGCTACGCGAGCTTGAATGGGATGTTTTATCGCATCTACCATATAGCCCGGACATAGCGCCAGGTAATTACCCCCTGTTCCTGTCCATGGCGTAAGCCCTCGTTGGTGTAAAGTTGAAGTCAAAAGAGGCTTGTGAAAAGTGGCTGTCCGAGTTCCTCGCAAATAAGGAAAGCCTTCCTTATTACGAGGGGTGCATTAAGAAACTGCCGTCTAGATGGTCTAGATTATMGAACGAAATGGCGCATATTTGAACACWTCTTATAAAGCATTGAATAAAGAGCAAAAAASCKGAAGGATATTTTCCAACCTTATATTACACAACATTAATGAGAGGAAAAATACTCAGATTTGAAAATCTATTATCATTGAATATTTTTACAACACCTCATGATTTTAATAGCTTTCGTAATTTCGCTTGTATACAGGGTTTTTTCCTCAATTTTGTACATGTTTGCTGAGTGTAAGGAAACTTATTTAGTTGCTGATTATAAATCTCATCCTAATCTTTCCTTTAACATTGCTATCATAATATTTTGCTCTTGATCGCAAAAGTCCGCATCATAATAAATTTTGGTTATTACTTAGAYKKWARACTATCGGCAAAAATRTTAGCATAGCGATTTTATTYTATTATTTTTAAATACTCAAGCCCCAAAATTAACGCTTACAAGGAACTATTTAGGGAAATTACCTCGAACCTTTACATTTATGTATTTCATGTTTAAATTTTTTTTGTGAAAACCGACAATGTTTTGTGGTTTTATAAATTTCACTAAACACCATATGAGCTTAAAGATATATGAATAGAAGTACCGCATCCCTTTGTATGTGTCATGCTTGGTATTAGCGCGTTTAGCAACAGTCAGTTAGAAACGGTGAGTGAAAATCGTGTATTAATGACTGGTAAGCACCATATTTAATCATTTTTCAATAGCACAAAACAATCGACTACGTAGGCAATGAAGAAGTTAAATGGCTATTCATAAAACGTACATTCCTCTGTTTGGTGATGATGTCATTGAGACATTCAGCGTGCAGACCTAAGCGATACTCATCACTTTCGGTTGACTTATTCTGACTTATTCAACTTCAGGGCAGAAAGCTATACTCTGTACGGAAACTAATGTTCGCATAAATTAAGTATAATAAAAACATTGTGAATGATTTATTATTGAAACAAATAATTGCCGTTAGAGTTGGGTGTGTGGCTTTTGATTGCAAATGTCTAAGTAACCATGTTCCAAAATATCTTTCGTTATTATAATTTTTAATTTTGACAAATTTTATATATTTAAAGTATTCCACACTAAAAAAATGTTTATAAAATTCGTCTGTCTTTCCAAGAGCCTTAGAACAAAATTTCATTTTGAAGGATCTTTTCACGAGAAATTACTTAAGGGGCACACCGACCCCAAAAAAGTTCAGTTTTTCTTATAAAGTCTATACTAGGGCTCTTGAAATTATTCGAATAATCTAAAAAAAAAAGGTTTGTTTCACTATCTCCAATAAAAACGAACGGTTAACCGAATAATAGAAATGAGCGAATTAATTAGTCGAATATCAAGAGTTCTAGTCTGTACCCCTAAAAATAAGGTATGAAATTTTTAAAGGAATAATTCAAATATTTTTTGAGTTAAGCCATTTTTCAAATATGCTGCAATTGTAACTCATAGACAAATCATCTGATGACTTCGATTTTTTCTGCTTACTTTTTATGTGTTTCGTATCATAGCTACAGCAAAATTTGAGGAAAAGGGGAAATGCCTAGCAAAGGGATGGCTCAGAGGGGTTGGATTGAACATAAACCTTTTGAAGGCGACCATCGTTCCATTTTCGAGAAGCAGCTCTCTGCCTGGCCTCAGAAACAAAACACTGTCTGGCAGAGAGATAGAGGTGACTACTATGGTCAAATATTTTGGTCTCACACTGGATTCCATTATGCGGTGGAAGCAGCATGTTGATCTGACCATGATCAAAGCTACGAAAGCACATATGGTGTACAATCAGCTAGCTGGGAGATGCTGGTCGTACACCATGATCTCATAAGGAGTAGTGGCTTGATCTCCGCAAGCTTCGCCGACTTGAGTAGGACTTCATCTATCGAAGCTGCAACGACTCACCTGCGCCTGCCTGTCGGGTATCGGGTGTCATGCGCACATGTCCGACTCCGGCACTTGAAGTCTTGCTGGAACTCACACTGYTYCACCTAGTAATSGGTCAAGTTRAGAAACACATACTTCAGCAAAAGGATTTGGCAGAGCTAATCTCTTCCCAAAGCTTGGCGAAATACCACTGGCTCTTCTCCCAATGAACATTACGAAAAGGCTTAACTTCACTAGGAAATTCAAAGCTATCCTCAGCAGTAAGGC